GTGGAACTCGGACATGCTGAGCGACGCAGTTTGCAGCGGCAAAACTGCTGCAGATTTGTGTTCGCCATTGCAAGACCGTGGCAAATTTGTGTTTGCAATGGCGAAACTGCTGCAGATTTGAAGTTGTAATCGCAAGACCGCTACAAATTTACAGTTGCGATCAGAAAAACACTGCAAATTTGTAGTCGTGATCACAGGAGTGCTGCAGATTTGTGTTTACGATCACAAAACCGCTGCAAATTTGCAGTTGTGATCACAAGACTGCTACAGAATTGCGTTTGCAATTGCAAGACCATTACAGATTCGCAGTTGCGATCACAAGAGCGCTACAGGTTTGCAGCTGCAATCACAAAACCACTGCAGATTTATGTTTGCAATCACAAAATTGCTGCAGATTTATTATTGCAATTGCAAAACCGCTGCAGATTTGAAGTTGCAATTACACGACCACTGGAAATTTACAGTTGCGATCACAAAAACACTGCAAATTTGTAGTTGCAATCACAAAACCACTGCAGATTTACGTTTGCAATTGCAAAACCGCTGCAGATTTGCAGTTGCAATCGCAATACCGCTGCAGATTTGTGTTTGTGACCACAAGAGCGCTACAGATTTATAGTTGCAATCACAAAACTGCTGCACGTTGCAGTTGCAACTGCAAGACCACTGCAAATTTGCATTTGCAATGGCAAAACTGCTGCAGATTTGAAGTTGCAATCGCAAGACCACTGAAAATTTACAGTTGCAATCACAAAAACACTGCAAATTTGTAGTTGCAATCACAAGAGTGCTGCAGACTTGCGTTTGCGATCGCAAAACCTCTGCAAATTTGCAGTTGCGATCGCAAAACTGCTACAGAATTGTTTGCAATTGCAAGACTGATATAGATTTGTAATTACAATCACAAAACTGTTGCAGATTTATAGTTACAATCACAAGACCACTGCACATTGCAGCTGCAATTGCAAGAGCGCTGCAGATTTACAGTTGCAATCGCATAACTGCTGATTTATAGTTGCAATCACAAAACCACGGCAAATTTGCAGCTATGATCGCAAAACCGCTGCAAATTTGTTTGCCATCGCGAAACCGCTGCAGATTTGCAGTTGCAATCGCAAAACTGCTGCAGATTTGCAGTTGCGATTGCGAAACCTCTGCAGATTTACGTTTGTGACCACAAGAGCCCTACAGATTTGCAGTTGCGATCACAGAACCGCCGCAGATCTGCAATTTGCCATCACAAAAGTGCCATTTGCACTTGCAAAACCCGCTGCAAAAGTGCCATTTGCAATCGCAAACCCGTCGCCCCCCGCCCCCCACCGTGGCTCCGTGGCCGCTCCCGCGAGAACAGCCACCAGTTCCCGCTGCGGGGGGCCCACCTCAACCACAGCCTCCGCCGTGGGCTCCGCTTCACTCATGGGCTCCCCACGGGGGTCCGCCGAGCCCTTCGCACCCCCTCGCCGCGGCCTCCTTGCCCCAAAATCCCTTCCTGGGATTTTTGGGGCTCCGTTTCGGCTCCGCGCCCGCCAGCCGGAAGCGGAGGCGG